TAAAGAAGTGTTTTATCTTAGAATTTGTCTTGAAGGCACAGAAAAAAAAGGCAAATATTGAGGGAATATACAAGTTTTCCAATATTTGAAACATTTAATGGTGAGAGAAATGTAATATTTATTGGAGAAATAAAAGAGTAGACAACTGAGCTGTAGGTCAGTGATTTTTAGCTTCGTTATTAAAGAACTTTTTTTAGTCTTTGTAACTGAGAACAACATGACAGCTGAAGTCTTGCTCAGTCATTTTCTCCATAAAGGTTACCCATGATGATACGACCTCTATGGGAAATACCTCAGTGATGAAACTGCATGAGGAAAAGTTCACCTTACCAAGCGTAGCCAAAACATGGCGGAGTTCAGCTCCCATCACTGTTCCATTTCCCTCCTTGTCGAACACACGCAGCCCCTCCACGAAGTCCTCATAGGTGCCCGTGTCCTTTGTCTTGGCAATATGTTGGAGCATGGGCAGGAAAGTCTCAAAGTCAATCATCTTGGAGTTCATTTCTGCAAAGACACAAATGGAAACACACATTTTGGTGGATTCTGAGAGAGTTGAGGACTAACCATGAGGCATCCACCATAGGTATATGATGAGGGTAGAAGAACTGTGGCAATAAATGCCAGCTTAAGGGAAGATAAGAGTATAGAAATACCATATGGAAGGATGGATTGAGTGGGAAAGAAGTCTGGCAAAGAGAGAAGCACAGGGTTTTAATAGAGATCGATAGATAGATAGATAGATCGATAGATAGATCTTAGTATGTGACATACAAAAACATCAAGGAAAAATAATACTAATACTGTTAGATTTCGAGTGCTGTCCCATGCAACAAAGAAGTATGAAATTAAGCAGAAGACAGTAAGAGAAACTCACTACTAATGTGAAATCAGCTTTGCTTTGCAGCACTATAAAGCACAAAATGTTTAAAACCGAACTGGCAGAGGAGCTCCAAAGTCAACAGGCAGAACCAGGGCTGCATATTCCATTTTCTTGATTCTTTGCCTTTCAAGAGAATCGGAGAGCATTTTGTTCCTATATCACTCCTTGTCCTACCTGCCACCGCCACTGACATATCCTAACACATCATAGTTGTTGAATCCTTATTCAACATCTTCACTCCCAATTGTCAGCTCCACTTCAGTGAAAAGAAAGAAAAGAAGTAATCTAGAAAATGCCCAAACACACTTATGGTCTGAGAGAGATTTGTTTTGTTTCGGAGAGATATCTAGTGTATGGTGAGTGTTGAAGGGTGATATTACTGCAATCATTACAGACCTTCTAAGTCATACTTTTGTAGAACAAGCTCTCTCCTCACAAGCAGTTTAGCCCTTTGTTTCTTTGAATGTCTTCAAGTCTGCATTTTCATGAACATGTGAATGCCTGTCATTAAAGCAATTTTAAAAAGCAAAACCTTGTCACTGTAAAACACATCAATGAACAGGGCCATTAAATGAATTAATTCTCCTAAATTGGAGACAGTTATATTGACTTTTTTCCTCTTTTACTTTTCTGCTAGTGATTTGCAAAGGCTGTTCCATACCCTTTGTTAATTCACAATTAACCTTTCCATCAGAAAACGGAGACATCATCTGCTTCACAAATAATTCTTGCAGTGATCTTTTTCAAAACAAACACAGAGGACACCAACCTTCTGGTTTGGGTCTGCCAAGCAATTTCATGACCTCAGCTTGGGTTGGATTCTGCCCTAAAGCTCTCAAGACATCTCCACATTGTGCATATGTGATTTTCATCTCAGATTTAGGAGTCCGGTCGAAGAGTGAGAATGCTTCCTTAAATTCTGAAAGACAAAAAGATAAAGAGAAATTCATGCCACATCCCCTCAGATGAAGTCAAAGTAAGCCTAGACCTTGCCCCAAACTAACTCTGCCTGACCCTTTTATTTTGCAGTTTGGGAATGAGTTGGATGAGCTTTGTTGTTGCTGTTATCTGCATTATTTGTTTATCTCCTCCCTTGCATTTTCCGATTCAATCAAGAAATGGAACCAGAGAGGTCAAATGCTCTTCCTGTGGTATTTCCATCTCAGTTAACATTGGGAAGTGCAGAAAACCTTGTAGAAATTGTTGACCTTGAGAGCTTTGCAGCTCATCAGGAGCACTCAGGATGGTATAAAATTCAGTAGCAGCTCTGCTCATTAGTTACCTGGATATTGGATTCAGCATTATACATTCAGAGAATACTGGCACAGCTCACTGAGATAAAGGAGCACCTCAGTTAGCAGATAACAAGATATAATAACCTACTGGAATAATCACAAAACGATCTATTGGTGAGGAATGCTAAAGGTGTATGGAAAACCTTGTAATCCATAAATCATTGGATTTAACACTGTCAAGTAGCAGATCTAGAAGAATCCTCCCATTTTCCCTTTCTCTAGCACCCAATCCAATTCAATCTGGAGAAGTCAGACTTGGTATGCCATCAGCTATCAATGCCAGGCCAGAACTCGTGTGTGAATATGCAATCATTCCCTTCAGTGGTTTCATAGAATCATACAATCATAGAGTGTATTGGGTTGGAAAGGACCTTTAGAGGCCATCTAGTCCAACCCCTCTGCAGTAAACAGCGACATCTTTAACTAGATCAGGTTGCTCATACCTGCCTGCTTTCCCCTGTGCTCTCATGCAAAAACCTTCCTCTTCCAAGACAGCCAGCTCCCCTCCCTCTACTACAACTTTGTGAATGCATCCTCATGTCTTCTCTTTAATTCTGTCTAAAAAGGGAGTCCCTTACCACTACAAGCAGCAATATTTTGACAAAAATGTCCCCATGGGAGAGGGTCCTTGCTCTACTACTAGTTACATGTAGATGTGGTGCTTAGGGACGTGTTTCAGTGCTGGATCTGACCATGCTGGGTTAGAGGCTGGACTCAATGATCTTACAGGTCTTTTCCAACCTAAATGATTCCATGATTCTAAATAATAGGCTGAGTGTAGGATCCAGGCAAGACTTCCCTAGACACCAGTTACTCAGGTTCATCTCTCCTTACTGGAGTTGCAGAAAAAATTGCAGAAACAGGGGAGTATCACAGGGCACAAACAGCAGTGACGGGCTGTTATTCTTTACTGAACACACTTCCACAGTGCACAATCTACGGGTGATCACAAAGCCCTTTGGCTAGATGTTCTTCATCTTTCCCTTCCCAATTCCTTCTCGTCCTCATTACTGCTCCTCCCTCTTTTTCCTTTCTTCTCCTTTGCTTACTTCCCTCTCTCCTTCCTTATTCCAGAGTTCCTGGCTTCACCTCTCTTCCTTTCTTGCTCCCTTTTAATTTTTATCACTCCACTCACATTTTACCCATTTCCTTCCTCATCCAACACCTTCCAGCAGTGATGCATCTTCTCGTAATGCTCCCCTAATTTTCTTCTTTGCATTCTCATCTTCACTCTATCTCCCTGCCTCTCGCTCCTGGATCTCTGCTTCTCGATTGGGTCCCATTGGCTGTCACTCCAGCAGAGGGCAATGGTGGGTTTTCATGGTCTCCTTGCTGACGGTGGAGCCCCACACTCAACTCTGTCTCGTCCTTCAATATCTCAGCAGTTGAAGTGGACCAGAAATCCACCTACTTCCCTGAGCTGCTCATCAGCCTGCCGCTTACCTGCTGCTTGTCATCAACCGCCTCAGTATCCATTGCACCACCTCCTATAGGTTCACAATTCGTTGTAGTTACTGACAGCTCACTTTTATTTCTGTCTTTTTTATTTTTTTCATTAAATTTAAAATCAGATGTAACTGCCTCTCACCAGACCGTTGGCCTGTGGGTTTGGAAACTCCACTTTGTCAACATACAGAAGCAGCCTATTTTTTTTTTAATTCTTTTTTTAATTGCACTTGCTGACTTAATGCAAGTTTCCATCAAAGCAATGAAAACAGTATGGCTATAGTCTCCTTTGTCCTCCTGCTAACCATTAAACCACTGGCAGGAGCAGTGTATATTTTCATATGTCTAATTGCTACCTATCTTCTCATCTTAAATAGCTGATATTCTTCTCTTTTCAGCAATTTAGGGGACTGAAAAGGCCAGAAATCCAGTTTCCTGAATCCACATTGCCACAACCAGTGAATTTCACTCACAGTTGAGGCAGGAGGACATGTAAAGCGGGTGTGTTCCATATGGCTTCACCCACAGACCATTCTCCTTCTGAGAGTAACATTTTGGGGGCTAACATAATGAATGGTTGCAGGGAAGTAAGCCTGGTACAGCAAAGTCTGCTCCTTAGAAAGAGGAAGAGGTTCAGAGTATCCTAGAATAAAGGGCTGGAAAAGACCTTGAGATGTTGCATTGTTTCATTCTCCTCCACCACCTCAATTCCGAAACAGCTGTCAGAACCAGTCTGGGTTGATGGTAATATCTAACATACAGGATGGACTTCCTATTGATCTGGTTTCAGCTGACAAGTGGGGAAGCATCTAGTCTCACTGAGACACCTAGATCCTCATCTGGTCAAATAGAGCAAGAAAGGCAGGGGATTGCATATAAGAGGCCTATTTTTAAAAAAATATACACATAAAAGTATCACGTGTGACCTTGACCTTCTCATGACTTACTGAAAGAGGAAATCTGACAAAACTAACACTGCAACACAGCACTGAAAAGGACCCTGACCAAAATGTGAGCAGCTGAAATGCAAAAAAAAAGCAAAAGCTTCTTGATCATGGAAGCTTCAGAGAGAGAGCAGAGAATGAGAAGGAGAAAACAAACCAAAATGATGTATCCTACATGTCCTGTGAGTCTCAAGTCAAGTCAACAGCTATAAATCAGAGCAAGTGGTGCATGCTTTCTAACCTGTCCTTTTAACATGAAATAAAACATTCCCAAGCACCAGAATATTGATCGTCCACTTTCTTAAACTGGTGGCACATTTCTTGGCAAGGTTTTGACATGTACAGACCAGAAGGGAGGACACTGTGTGTCAGGGACAATCCAGGGACAACTGGATCACGCTGTAGATATAATTCCACATCTCGGGTCTACTTAGGAGTAAAGATCTATCTAGCAACCCTCAGTCTGACTGCCTACACACTTACAAAGTTAAAAGCCTTCTAAAGGTCAGGTGAAGGAAAGGAGAGCATGGAGGGGAAAAAAGAAACACAAAGAATTGAAAAAAAAGAAACACTAAGATTTAAAAAAAAAAAACAAACAGAAGAGGCCAAGGAGAAAGGAATTGGGGACATCACTGATGAGCAGCGATCAGTCCCCTGGTGATGGTGAAACTATTAGGCACTCCTTCCCTCAACTCATGGCAGAACCTATGAACCAGCTTGGGGTGGATTTAGTGTTTCTCTCCAGTGCTAGTACACAGTGTAACTCTGTTATGCTCTTGTAGCCAACGTGGAAGCCTCACAGCCTTTTCCACCCAGATGATGTTGACTGCTTCCTGCTTTATAGCATTCCCTTTGATATTTCAAGGACAAATCCTGGATTTCCAGCTTTGCAGTGAGTACAGCTGGACCAGAAGGGAGCAGAGGCTACTGTAAAAAAAGCAGATGCAACTTTTGGGTTCTGGAGATGGTCTGTATCTGCTTTAGGTCTGTTACCTTTTATGGCAGCTCGGGAGTTGATTCAGATTTGCCATTTCCTATCCATTCCAATGGACTCATGGCCAGACAAGCATCCCATTTTTTTCCTCAATAGGCTTTTTCTTTTCTCATTCTTCAATACAGTCTCTAGAGCTAGTTCTTCTCATGGGGAGAGGAAACAAAGCATAGACACTAGGTGTGTTCTATCCAATCTGCAGCACATTAGCTGATGAGAGATCCAGCTGTTGCGTGATGCTGTAATCATTCAAAGGTTTGTGGCTCAGAATTGTGCCTCTCGTGTGGTTCCCCCATGACTCTGGGGCTGGAAAAGGGGCAGGTTCCCAGAAATTAGCAGTTGCCTTCAGCCATATGGTACTTTTGACCTGTTGTCAGAAAATACTTAAACCATTAAGAGAGGGGCTTGAAAATCCCACGATAATGTTGGAAGTCTGTGGTAAAGTCTCAATCACTAAGTCATCATCACATTTTGTTCTAGTTCAGGAAATCTTTCCTTCTTTCTCTCTCCTTTCTGAATCAGCCTGACTGACTAGTCTGTGATTTTTTTTTCACTTAATTAACTCATTTTCTGATACCGTCTTTCATAGGCTTTACCAAATCCTGCCAAGTGTTTAACGACCAAAGCAAAATGTTGCCAGATGTTCAACTCCATCTCTTCAATTATCCATTTAAGTAAAAAACAGGCTGGTAGTTGAGGAAAAGAGGGACAGCTGCAATGATAGTGCTCCCAGGACCTCATGCATGAGGTTTCAGTATCAGTTTCTTGGGCTGGGACAAGGGTTTCAGAAACTAAATGCTGACGTTTCGCTTTGAAAGAAAAAAAGTCACCATGGCTGTCATTATTTACTGGTTTCTGGAGAGCTGTCACAAAACCGTAACATATTAAATTCTGATTGAATGCAGAGAGAAGTTCTCAAAAGCAGATGGGGGACACTTTCTCTTGAAAGGATTGATATCTTGTTACTGGGTTTTCTTAAAGAAAAAGTATATATTTAGTCTGAAGATTTAGTGGTGAATTTTTTTTTTTCCCTTTGTTTCTGGTTTTGCCTCATTGGCAGAGAAGCTGGTGTTTTCTTTAATGAAATAAGTACCTGATTCGCATAATACATGCTTTTCCCTTTCTCTTTCAACCAATTGAACATAGGAATTGGAGTAGGGATGGAGCAGGAGCAAAGACATGAATTAAAGCACAGGCTTCTCAAGAGAGCACCAATACCACAACCATGTTCACTCCAGCACTTGCCAGTGCCTCCCGGTGATGGTTTTTACTATGCGCAGAAGAGAAAAAGATCTTCCTCACCTTCAATCTGGTCAGGGGTGAATTCAACCTGGAAGAGACAAAGAAGAAAAGCCAGATAAAACCAGAAAACTGAAGCAAATAGAAGAGCATTGAATTAGTCTCTGTATTATGTTTCTGAGTGCTTGTGAGTTCCATGAAAGAGACTGACTCCAAAATCCAAGAAAATAAGTTTACAGAGCCTGTAGATTCTTCTTCTTCACTCCTCTCCCTTCCCTTATCAACCAGTTCCCCCTTTAGGTCTTCTGCCCCCATCATATGGCTGTATATGTCCCTTGTCCATTCTTCTGCTGTTCTTGTGTTCTTGCTGTAGTCTTTTTTTCCCTGACCCAAGTGTCTCCCTGGAAGGAGGATGATGTCCCCTCCAGAGATGATTATGTTGCCATGGTAAATCCCAGGCTATTGGGATTTTCCAACAGAAGAACTAGGGTCTATCAAGTGATGCTGGTGTGAATCAGGCCCAGAGGAAACGGAAGTAAGTGGTTCTTTGCTCTTACAGCTGAATTATGGAAAGCTGATCATGGGATACTGTGAATGCTCACAGTGCAAAAAAGTCACAGGACAACAACTGGACATTACCAAATGTACAAAAATATCCAACTTAGTAAGTCCCTGCTTGAGGTTTAGGAGAGCATTGCAAGGGGAACTTTACCCAGTTCTTATATCTTTTCTTAAAACATCTTCTAATAACCATGACTGGACTGTATTGGACAACTCCATGGACCTTACTCTAAGTGCCATCTGTCTCCTGTTTTCTCATCACTTCGTATTTCCTCCTGTTTCCAAAGTTTTAGGCATGTCCTACTTCCTACTTCTACATGGCATTGCCCTCTCACAGCTCTGGATTCCAAAAATCCTCGAAGATGCCCAGAGGCGACTGCTGAGTTCAAACACAAAAGAGGGAAATGCTGTGTCAGAATGTGAGATCCAGGCTTTTGAATGAGCAAGCAGAGGTCAGCAATGTGAATTTACATGAGAATTTATGCCTACCTCTCAGGGAAAACAAACAGGATGTGAATCTTTGCTGATAGGGGCACTCCTGCAGTGCAGGGAGACTGGTGGAAATATATATAGAAAACATATTTTGATATACATAAACATGCAAATACACATATGGAAATCTGACACTTGGGACAGGTCTAAGACCCTTGGAAGTATTCTTCTGCAGACACATGTGACCCCATCTCCCCTGATATAAGCGCAATCACACATTTTGAGTCAAATTTTCCTTATCGAGCTGACCGCACCTCACTGCTTAATGTCATACTTTTTTCCTTGGTAGCAAAGTATTCAAGCCACGGTGAGAACCTCAAACACAAACTCCCCATTTCCTTATTTCGAGAAGGAATGCAACATGACCCATCTCTTTATCATCTGGTTGGGATTTTCATGTCATTAAAGGGACGTGTTGTAACTCCCCAGCTCTCCAGCCAGGATGGCTGTGACATGGCAGAGCATGACAGCACCAACCACCTAGGGCTTGATGGACAGCTCCGAGACACTCTTCTGTTTCCAGATACCCCAAATACCACAAGGACCTCTGTCTAGCATTCAGAGGACACAATGAGAGCCTACAGGGCAGGTACAGACAGTCCCAAACTCATTTTACTCGTGTTTCTAGGCGTTTTGTTGAAAGCCAGTTCATGGCATATCTACAGGTATATCTTGTTGGTCACACTATATGGCTTCACAATACCCTGCAAATTCATTCTAGGGGCCTTTTCTTGACCATGTGTCCATTCCCTGAGGATTTTTATACCTCTCCATCACTGACGCAGTACCATCTTCTAACTTAAAGCTGTATGTTCATGGTTTAGAGCATTTTGCAATGATATTCTTCATTGTTAGTGTTTCAATTGAATGATGAGATCATTGAGAGAGGAATTCACTCTCCCACAGACACTTAAAGGACTCAGCCCATGCCCCCTTCACAGAACTCTGTTAACCTTGATAGAATGTCACTGTCCAATGAGAAACACTGCGTTGATTGGGATCTCCTTCTGGGCAGCCCTATCTATTGTTATCGGTGGCTGAAAATGTCCCTGAGAGAAGGTGATTCCCAGACCCATCTTGCAGAGTATCCTCCATCAACTTCTGGAATAGCTGGGCCTAGGTAGTTTTGAAGACAAGGTGTTTGGTGCATGTGAATTCACCAATTTAGTCTACCTTGCTAGAAAATGGCGACGGATCATAATATTCAGTTAGGTACCTCGTTTTAGCACTGAAACGACATTAATCCTTTAGCACAACCCTTCACTCATGCACATTTCCTACCAGTGCCTGGCCCATCTCTCTCTATCACTGTTTCAAAGCATCTTCTGCTATAGAAGAAATAACTAGCAAACATCTGGTGAACTTGGAAGGCAGGTCTCAACACTAACCCTGCAGCTGTTGAAAACCAAGCCACTATTTTTTGTGTCTGCCCTGTTCAAACCTCATCTGAACTAGCTTGTTCAGGGGATTACTACTTTGCTCACAGTTCTGAATCATGATTTGCCTTGAATGAAATCCAATTAATAAAACAGTTGCCTAAGTGGCAGCCAGCAGTCTGTCTGGAAGGAATGCCACTAAGGAACCCCTAAAAGAATAACAATGCTCTTCCCTTTTCTAACACATAAAGTGGTCCAAACATACCTTGTCATGAAGTTTATAATCATCTAGACGGGGTCCTATCCCAAATCCACATACCTTAGTGTAATTAGAAGTAAATACCCGTTAGGAAACACATGCATACAGGCATATGGTCAGCAGCAACCTTATGCCCGGTATGTCTAATTATATCATGCTTTGAGAAATGGAAGCTAATTGAATATTGAGTTTATTCAGGCATCAATAGCCAGAGTGGGTGAAATAAGACCAGACCTCCTGGCAACTGTATTTAAATCACTGTGATGGATTGCTCTTGGGGAAGAATTCATCTTAGCTACACTTAGATGTAGCCATCCAGATGTGTCAGCAACCCCACATTCACTTTATACCAGCAGAAGGGAATGGGAGCTTCTAAGGTGTGTTTTCATTTGGTTCAGGTCTATACTCGAGCAGAAGATGAGTTATGCTCTTCCTTTAATTGAGTGAATCAATTAATTCTACAATGACAATAAAAAGCACGTGGGAGACTAGTACAGATACAGGTGTCCTTTTCTGATCTGGGGAATCCCACCCAGAAAGCATGAGCTGGCCCTTTGGCAGATGCAGGCCAGGAGAAGGTGCACTAGAGTGAAAAAGGATAACTGCAAATTCCCACGGCTGGATCAAAGGGAAGGTTTGAGCTGAAGGGCTGAATGTGCCTCACCTCTAATCACAGCCCCTATAAAAATACCACCTAAAGCTGGAGGCTCACGTTTGGCAGCTGGGAAGGCAGTGGTAGATGGTTTGACCAGACCTGCCACCCAGGCACGGCTTCCTCTGCAGAGATGTGTGAGTGGCAGTTCCTCTTATTTTCTCCCCTCTCAGCACATACCACTGGGGAGATGTAGGGACAGGCAACTCATCGTTTACCCAACCACAAGGTATCATTGAGGATGGATGGAACAAACCCTGGGTTATGTTTAGACAGAAGGTGGGTGGGGCTTTGTTTTCCTTCCCCTCTCCCTCAGAACAGTGTGGGGCACACAAAACCAAAGCCATCTCCCCAAAGCAAGAAGCAAGGATGGAGCTGTCCATGAAGACAGCAGGGTCACTGCCCCAGAGAACCAAGGAAGGAGGGATCCAGAGGACAGGCTGTAAAAACAGTCAGGCTGAGGCAAGCCGTGGGCAAAGGAATCCCAAGGCATTGCAGCCCCAGGCAGTGACCCCATGTCCATGCTCTGAGGCAGCTCTGCTTCTGCTGCTCTGCTGCAAAGAGCATCCAGGGGAGTGAACGCCCTTAGTGTTATCTCTGATGTCCAGAACCACTCCTGCCCCCAGACCCACCCTGCAGCACCCCACTCTCCACTGGGCTCACTCAGCAGAGCAGCCCTCGTCACCCAAAGCTGGAGGCTGCAAAACCTACTCAAAGTATTAATGTGAATTTGTTTTCCCTGGACACAGCTTTACTTTCTCCAGTTCCTTGGAAGTAGACTAGGATGATTTTCCTTGGGGTTTTGTCTGTTTGAAATACACTGGCACTTCAGAAGAATTGAGTTTCCCCTGGCATTTTTTCTGTTGCCAATTGAGGTTCTAAAGCAAGGACATTCCTGTAAATGCCAAATACCCACAACACCAAAGCTCACTGTGCCAGTATTTGGTAGAAATCCCTATGAGAAACAGAGCTGCTGATGGCTAATCTCTTTCCACTTGTCTCCTGCCCTGCTGTGAGGACTGTGTTCCATGTTCTTTGAAGACACCACTTTGAAGTCTGAATTAAAATCTTTCCATAACAAACACAAAGTGCTATTCCAGCTTTCCTGCTCTTTTAGCAATTTTGGCTTTTAGGGGTTCATCACCTGATCACCAGTGGCGTCAGCTGTAGCCCTAATGCTACTCTCCTTTTTGCCTAATCAATAGCATGAAGCTGGCTTTGTTCTGGAGATATCAGGAGGGATCCAAACACCCCTTGGCACTCAACATCATTCACAGCATCCTATCTCAGGGCATTTTTTTATAAACCCATAGTATCTCAATCAAGCACGTAACACCATGCACGATAAGTCAGACATAACTAAGACTGAAAAAAGTCCTATTAATAAAACTGTTGCTATCCAGCAGTCAGAAGGTTATCTAGGGGTAGCATTTAGACAATGCAAGCAAGAAGCCTCTCCAGAAAAGAAAAGAAATTTCTTCTTGTTTCATAATATTCTGAGTTACCCTAACACAAACAGCAAGGGTTTCACTTAGCCATGGCAGGGCTAGTTTTAGAGAAGGAGAAGGGTTTGTTTTGTTCAGTCGTGCTCTTGGGAGACCAATTTAGGAGGCAGAAATGCAGCAGATAGAGAGAGGCCCGGAAGGTCATCAAGATTAGTATTGTTGTGTTGAAGTTACAATTGTGTTTCACAAGCTTGTGGGTTTTTTTCCACTAAGACCTTTTTAAACTTATTAATACACGTCTTTGCC